TTACACTTGTAATTATCACCTCCATGTATCATCTGTTTTACTGCAATAAAGCTGAACAAGAAACGTTAGCTGACTCACTGCCTTAATTATGAACTTTGAAAGTCTGTATCATACAGAAAAGTAAACAATTGATGAGTCTTACACTTATTTTTCATAGGTTATACTACCATTATAGCATACCCCCCCCCCCTTTTTTTTTTTTTACATTCTTGCCTCATTAAACATGATCTTACAATGTCAGGTTAATTTATTTCTGAGATTAAATGTCTCGTTAAATTCTGATGAAGCCTAATGCCTTCCTGGGCAAAACTGGTTGTGAAATACTCTTGTATTAAAATATTGTTCTATCTTTCCTGCCCAGGTAAATGAACAGAGCAGCCTGAAATCGCTTTCTCTAACTAAGATTTTTCTGCAAGATAAAATTTTCACAAGACAAGGACAGGATTAATGAACGATGGCTTTAAATAGGAGTTCTTTATTTTACATTTCGTACTGCTTCAGGGATTTTGTTATTATTATTTTAATCATAGAGATACCATAAAACAGGAATGGTTGCCTGTCGTGATGTTCTTCTTTAGCATTTTAGTGATTAGAGCCATGGTGTTTAGGAACCCTGTTCTGATGAATCTCCCAAAGCCAACATTGAATGTATAGATCAGAGGTGTCCAAATTTAAGACTTGTGGACACCAACTCCCAAAATTTCCCAGCAAGCCAAGATTGGACAACCCTGGTATAGATTATAACCATACAGAAGGCAAAACCAAAGCCATAGAAGAATTGTAAGGTAAATAATAAATCTTGTGGTATGTTCACCTTTCTCTCAATGGAATTAAACCAGGAGCTTAAAAGCTATATAAGCTGATTATACAGTGGTGGATCATTGTGATTTGTCCCCTAAGTTTCTTTGTTGATAGTTCGCAGTTTTGAAACCTGAACCAGAGGTGGTATTCAGCAGGTTCTGACAGGTTCTGAAGAACCAGTATTAGAAATTTTGAGTAGTTCGGAGATACGGCAAATCCCACCTCTGACCGGCCCTGCCAGCATCTCTTCTCTGACTCCCATTGAGTCCCAGCTGATCGGCTGGGTCTTCTTTGGTTGCCTTTCACAGGAGAACGGAGCTGGAAAGATGGTTAGTAGGGTGGGGAGGGAATGGGGATTTTGCAGTAACCTTCACCCAGAAATAGGGAAGGGATGGAGATTTTACAGTATCCTTCCCCTGCCATGACTATCAAGCCACACCCACCAAGCCACGCCCACAGAACTGGCAGTATTTTTTTTTGAATCCCACCACTGACCTGAATCTTCCTTTTCAAAGACGGATCCATTAGCATATGGTATAAATAGCAGTCTATTTTTTTTTAAGTTTGCAAAGCAAACCATGTTTTTTTTTTCCCCACTTGTGTTTTCTTATTAGTACATATATGGAAGGGAAATTAAATGCACCGTATTCTTCCTCTCCTCTTACCTGTTTTGTACAGAACATTGGGAGGGTTTAGGAAGCCTCTGTGAAAAAGAAAACATGATCACGATGATGAAAATGTTGGGAATGCTTTTCTTACAGAGTCACAATGACTGAGGTATATTTCCATATGAAGTTCATTGTTTTGATGCCGTTCGACCTTTTCACAACATAATTCATAGCTTCAATAGCTTTTAAATCTTCTGTACGAAAGGACCTTTAACAGTTCGCTCATTAATAGTCCATCTGTCATCATCATTATTTTTATGTATTTATATTTATTTTATTTGTTTGTCAGACATGTAGAAGATAACAAGTATATGTATGGAGATTAACATAAACAAAGGAAGTAAATACAGATCAACAGGGACAGTAAGAGAGGGACAGTCGGCACACTGGTGCTCTTATGCACGCCCGCTTTAAGGACCTCTTAGAAATGGGGTGAAGTCCACAGTAGACAGTTTGAGGTTGACACTGTGAAGGGTTGAGGCTGTTATAACGGAGTCGAATAGGGCATTCCAGGTGTTGACCACTCTGTTGTTGAAGTCGTATTTTCTGCAATCAAGTTTGGAGTGGTTTACCTTGAGTTTGTATCATTTGCCCATGTGTTATTGTGGTTATAATTGTATTGTGTGATATTGTGTATCATCGTCATCATATTCATGATCTTTCATCATGCTTCATTTTATTTTGGGGTGGGTTTCCTCAATTTACCACCACAATTGAGCCCAACAATTTCTGTTGTTCAGTGAAACATTTCTTAAGTGAATTTTGTCCCATTGTTATGACTTTTTGAGCTACCGTTGTTAAGTGATGAAGAACTTACACAAGAGACATTGCTGAGACAATCTGTGGAAAGAAAATGTCCTTCCTTTTGCCTCTTTTTTCACTACAGGCAATTTTTACAGCCCGAATGTTTAAGAATCTAGCAAATTACTTGTCTCGACAACAAAATGAGTCTTATGACCTTTCCTGGATTCCAGACACTTGCCACGATGAATTGCTCCCTGAGTAATAATCTGTTTAAAAGATGGTTTTGAATTATTTGTGCTTCTATGACGCGATGAAAAGAAAATGACTTGATGGCAGAAATCTTTAACTTGTCTTTCCCCATCATCATCCACCACGGATGGTCCATTCAAGCAATTTGGGTTTGTGTGTTTGGAAATCCATTCATGAATCTTGGTGTGCTTTTTTGGCAAGCACAGATATAATCCTGGAGTTTGAAAAAAAGAATTTTCTATTTCTGGTTACCGGTGTGACTATTCATGTACTGGATTTTGCCTTCCGCATTCTGTCTGCTTTTTTGACAGTAGAGTTACGTGCAAAATAGTTCCTCCAACAACTTGTTATCACAGTTTTTATATTAGGGGTTTGTTGTGTATTTGGAGAAAAAACACTTGTGTACCCTGGAAGATTGAGAATCTCCATAAACATAGTGTCCGTGCAGATTTTTTTCACTTTCTAGATCAGGGGTCACCAACCTTTTGGACCTCAGAGACCAGAGACCCTGGGAAAATCCCCAAAAAAGTCTGCAGGAAAATTCCCCACCCAGTTTTCCTACTGATCAATTGTTCTTTACTTGGGATCGCAGGATACCGTCTCCAGCTCCATTCTCAGGGGGAGGGGAGAGAGAGAGAGACTTTTGGCTTCATGCAAGGAAAGCAGCAGAAGCAGCAGAAGTCTTTCTTTCTCTCCCCCAAACTCCACCAGAAATGAGTCTTTGCTGGTGCAGCTTCTTGGAGCAGGAGGCCTTGCAGGGTCCCAAAGACTCATTTCTGACGGAGTTTGGGGGAGAGAAAGAAAGACTTTTCCCTTGCATGCAGCCAAAAGCAGAAGAAAGAAGCAGCCCGGTGGCCAGGCCAGGCATGTGGGGCGAGTGTGGCAAGTTCCTCCCCTCCGTCCTTTCCCCCCTCCCCTCACTACCTCGTGTTGTTCGCAATGCAAGTGACACAAGCCTTGTGTTCCTGTGGGCCATATGGGCGGTGCAGCCTTGTGTTCCCGTGTAGCCTGGATTAATTGCTTTGGGGGGGGCATTTATCTGCGGACCACCAGTGGTCCCTAGCCCACTGGTTGGCGACCACTGTGCTAGATTACTGGGAGGCATATTATGGTATGTCTACAATGGCTTGATCCTTGCTTGGACCACTCGTAACTTTCAGAATCTTCAGTTTTGTGGATGGCATCATCAGAATCATACTTCTCTCACTGGATTCATAGGAGGTGCCACTTCATTCATACATTTCTTTCTCCATTGACTTCTGTTCTGTTAGTATTAGCAATGGAAAACTCAAGATGCAATCCCAGGTTAAATGAAACGAGTCCACGATATACAGTATAATCTCCACTTTTACAGCCAATCTGGAATTAATCACTAGGAGGCTAGGTATTGCTGAGGAAATAACTTGGTTGTTGTTATCACACTTTTGTTGTTACTTTTATATATGCTAAAACAATGGCCTTGGATGTAAATGTACACAGGGTGAAATTTATAACACACAAAGTAAGCAATCACTTTGTTTTTCCTGCTCGGTTCTACTCAGAAATGATGACTGGGGGGGGGGGGAAACACTAATTTTTCTTTCCATGCTCTGAGTTTCTTTCATCTGTAATGCAGAAGGGGTATGCTTTTGTCTAAACTCCGCTTACAGATTTGTTTGTTTGTTTGTTTTGCTTTGTTTCAGAAATTACTGACACCATCTTGCTATTTACAAAAGACCTTAAGGCTCATTTCAAAAGCAGGGTATATATTTTAATACACACACACACACACAAAACCCCTTCCATCCCTTTGAACAACTTTCTTTTCTCTTCACAATATTAGTCTGCAGAGCTAATAAGCTATCCCCGAGTAATTTAAGGGAAAAGATAAGATACTCTGCGGCGAATACAATAATACTAATTGATTGACTTTTAATATTAATCTGAACAATGTAACTGCTGCTTAGCAATTGATTACAAAAATGAATTAAAAAGGTGATATGTTACACTGTTCCTGTGCCTTTGCTTTCCACTATTTGGAACATCAATAATTTGTGTTATGCCATTAAATTAGAAGTACCAGTAAAAAGTTACAGCGGTTACAGGTTTCTACAGACTACTACATTTCATGACTAGAGAGAAAGAGATAAAAATATGTATTCTGCAGATTTTCTTTAAATCACCAACTATATATATTGCTAAGATAGAATCTCTTTGAAACTGGGTTTCTGTTTAATCTACAAATTAGATTCAAAGGAATGAAATATTAGCATTTCTATCAATAAATTTGAATAGAATTAGATTAGTTTGAACTAATGGAAGAATAAAATAGTGACATTCTCACATTAAGCATGATGATTTCATATATTATATTATATATTTCCCTTTATTTTATGAATAGTAGAACTTTTATGAGCCGTAATTCAGAAAAATGAGGGCACATATTAATGGAATTATCTTCACTGCCTTCACGAATATTACTTCAGACATAGCTTTTTTTCTTCCCCCAGTCGTAAGTCCTGATCTGATTTCTGAATTACCATTTTTTTTCCCTCTCAGTTTCAGCTCAAAGTCTTAAAAGCAATCTTGATTCCATGGGACACCAGATACAGCGTTTGGAAAATGACATCAAGAAGTTCCCCAAAATAGAAGATCCTCATGATAAATTTTTTGAAAAAATGATCATATCCTTTTGCGTGTTGTTGCTTTTTTGCTAGTCAAATATATGCATTATGTCCTGCTTACAATGTTTAAGCAATATAACACGGAATAACTTTTGAATGAGAGAATGCTCTGCTTGATCAGAAAGTTGTCAGCCAGAGGTGTGATGTATCTTCATATGAAATTCCAAAGGAATATCTGCTTTTTCTAAACAGTATTTTAGTTAGACTACTGAACATATAAATTGAGGTTTGCCTTGATTCATTCCTTGCCCTAATCAAAATCATGATATTTCAGTCATTTCCTCACTAGGGTAGCAGAATGTCTTCTGGACAGTAGCAAAAAGGGCAACTTTATTTGTCTACTTGTGGACATTTCAGACGAAGCCTAGAACTTCTGTGTCCTTTGTCGGTTGTGAAATAAGGTAAGAAACCTCAACTTTAACATAAAAAAATGGTCTAATTTGGAGAGCGGGGGATGTAATGGCCAGATTTGGTGACAATACCAAATAGAATAGAAAAGAATTCTTTGTTGGCCAAGTGTGATTGGACACACAAGGAATTTGTTTTGGTGTAAATACTCTTAGTATACATAAAAAGAAAAAGAAAAAAATACATTTGTCAAGAATCATAGGTATAACACTTAATGGTAGTCAAAAGGTACAAGTAAGCAATCAAATCATACTAGGAAACATAATAAGTGATCAAATCAAATTATATTAGTAAACAGTCAATTTAAAAAAACATAAGGATACAAGCAACAAGGTTACATTCATGCAGTCATAAGTGGGAGGAAATGGGTGGAAAAAAAGGATGAGAAGATGAATAGTAATAGCAATAGTAATGCAGACTTAGTAAATTGTTTAGGATGGCTAGACATGCTTTGCATGTTAACTGAGAGCTTCTGCACCGGAGACAGATTATTTGTGTCTAATCACATTTGACCTCTATTCTATTCTATTCTATTCTATTCTATTCTATTCTATTCTATTCTATTCTATTCTATTCTATTCTATTCTATTCTATTTTCTATTTTCTATTTTCTAGTCTACTCTATTACTCTACTCTATTACTCTACTCAACACAAAGATTCATGTTTGTGATTTATATATTCTTTTAATAAACTATCTATCCTGAGAGTTAAATATAACATCCATTCTTGGACCCATTACTGACTGCCAGGTGCTAAACTACAAGAATGGTGCCCATTGGTGAGCATCCTATGTTCGCATCTATTTTCTTTCTTACTTCTGCATGTAGTTAACAAAGAGGAGAATATAAACAGTATCTTTATTGGGCCAGGTAATGACGCCAAAGAGTTGGGAAGCTTTTTCAGTTTCTGCCGCATTTTTCATTAAGCAAAAAGGAAACCAAAATAAGATAGAACACAGAAAGTTGCAGACAAACACAAAGTGAATAGGCCCCGAGGTTTGTAGTTTAGAGTCAGTTTGAAGAAGATAATTATAGATTGAATTAATTAGCAGCTAATTAGCAGCTAGCAGCTATTGCAGGTATCAGATTACCTATCATTCTGGAATAAAAAGTAATGACCAAACAGCCCGAGGCTGCAATCCCCCCCCCCACACACACAAAAAAAACCCATAAAGAGAGCCTCAAACCTATCTTCTGCAAAATATATTTCCCCGTATTTGACTATTATCTTTTGTTCTCAGGATTATAGTAGCTGCATCAGTTTTAGCTTCTTCTTCTTCCTTTAAGTTATGGAGCATCATAGAAAGAAATGGTTCCCAGGATGTAATTTCTAATTTCATTGATTCTTCACTGACATCTGGGGCAATTCGGAATCCTTTCTATTTAATTCTGTAACTATAATATGCAAGTACGTTCCGGTTCTTAGGGGACTGGAGACTAAAACATATGAAGAATGGTTACAGGAATTGGTCCTGGCTAGTCTAGTGAAGAGAAGGACCAGGGGAGACAGGAGAGCAGTCTTCCAATATTTGAGGGGCTGCCACAGAGAGGAGTGGGTCAAACTATTTTCCAAAGCACCTGAAGGCCAGACAAGGAATAATGGATGGAAACTGAATAAGGAGAGATTTAACCTAGAAATAAGGAGAAACTTTCTGACAGTGAGAACAATCAACCAATGGAACAAGTTGCTCTCCGAAGTTGTGGGAGCGTCATCACTTGAGACTTTCAAGAAGATATTGGACTCCCCTCTGTCAGAAATGGTGTAGAGTCTCCCGCTTGGGCGGGGGGTTGGACTAGATGACCTATAAGGTCCCTTCCAACTCTGATTATCTGTTATCCTTGGCACTGAAACTCAAACATAGTTTACCATAGTATTTGATTCCCCCACCCACCCACCCACCCCCGCTTTCAACAATTGAGAAAACTCATCCTTTAATAAGTATTTTGCTAAAATATCTGGAGCAATTTAGATCTGATCCTATAGGGAAACAAAAACTTGGCACTGGTTTTTCTATTGTGTTTCATTGATAATTAAGGCGTTTTTAAAGAAAAGTCCACTGCATCTCATATCCATCCATTACAAATGATTGGTTGGTCTTAATTGTGAGTGTCCACTTGGTGGCAAATGTGAGTGGTTTTTTTAATTACTCCATCTTTTAAAGAAAAGATAGAGGACCTCAGGGTTATCGCCAACAAAGAGTGAAACGATTTAAAAGGACAACTCTGGAAACATCTTCTAGGAAATAAGCTCCACTGAACTTGATAGGGTTTCTTTATGAATATCACCTACATGGCTTGTTGTTTGATTTCTTAAGAAGTTGTTAAGCATAACAGCTGGGCCTAATCAAAATAGAGCACCTTGTTGCCATAGCAACAAGTCAGAGATCTGGCTCACAACCAGGAAGAGTTGCAACAACGTTCTTCTACTTGTGTTCCTCAACAGTTGACCCTAAAATACCTTTGGCTTGATACCAAATGCATAACCTGCAACAGAGACCTTATGTATCATATATTTGTTTAATCTCCTTTTTCAACCTATTCATACTGATGACCGTCTCTGAATTTCCCAGTAGCAGATTCCATAACATTGTCTTCAGTCTCCTCCTTAGCTTCATTAGAGGACTCTTAAGTATTTTTGTTTGTTTGTTTTTAGATTTAAAAAAAAAAAAACTTTATTGAAATTTAAAATGTTAAAATATTTACAAATATTTCTATAAAATAAAGTATGTCAATACCTTTCTTCATCGTTTTCTTGACAGTACAATAAGTACGATTAATAGAATTAATACTTAAAAGTTAATAGAAATATTATTAATAATAACTAATAACCAATTAATATTAATAAAGTAATTCATATAAAAAGATCAATAAGTCAAAAAGAAAAAGGATATCATAGCACTAAATAAATATCTATATCTAAAGAAAGTCAGGTATAAATCTATATAAATATAGTCTATACACTAAACTCTATAATCCATAACCATGAACAAAATATAAGATTTTATCTATACAATGTAAATATAACTACATGAATATTATAAATATAGATATAAATATCATTAATATAAATCTCCATTTTACTGATAATCCCTCTATTTCAACAAATTCTCATTGATTCTACATATATATATATACAAGTATGCAAATTATATTTCCATTTTTGACCTATATTTTTCATATTTTACTGTCTACCCAAATATTCCAAATCGTATAATATTCTGAGTCCTCTTATGTCATTTAATTTCAAAGTGAGTCTCTCCATTTCTGCGGATTCCAGAATTTTACAAATTATTATTCCATCTGACGGTGTGGTAGACATGTGATTCTTGCCGCCGTGATTATATGTATAATCAAGTATTGAGAGGATTCTTAAGTTTTAATATATCCATCATTTCTACAAGTCTGTGTATCTATCATGTCCCAACCTTACTTCTAAGAGAAAAAGACTCCCATGCTTGTTGGATACTCGAGTTGGACTTTTCTATACCTCTCCCAACTCAAAAATATCCTTTTTTGAGGTTGTCCCAGATGGCTCATGCTATTGAAATGTGGTTGTGACATATTCTTGACTAACTGTAAGACTGTTAGATTTGAGCATTTCCCATATATTCCAATGAACAGTACTATAACCAAATTATCATCCTCTTTTTCCTCTTGATCAGTATTCCTTTTTGTGTTTCATAACAGTGATCTACCAGTGAGGTAATTATCTTTGACTTTTAGCTCATTTCCTCTCATTATTCTATTAGCAGAGCTGGCATTGTTACTTATCGGTTGCACAGAAAGTCAAATATTTTGTGATTCCTACATAATTTTGCAATTAGTGATAAGAAAACATGTGGCATCAATGGTGCAAATTAGTACCAAAAGCACTTCAATAAAATGAGTACTCTGTTTCTGATTGTATTAATTTAACTGTTCTCTGGCTCCTGTAATTGGTAAGATTATGTATTTTGGGATAATAACATTAATATCTTAATGAAGGAAGAAAAAAAAACATTTGATATCTAATTTGAAGTACAAACTGTTAGATTGTTTTTTTAACAAAATGGATAATGGTAGAAAGGAAGAATGGTTTCGGATAATCTGAAAAAGCAACAGATGCCTTGCCTAATATAGAGAAATATATAAATCTAAAGGTTAATTGAAAAAAGAAAATGATTTTCTCTCTAAAAACTTTCTCTACCATCATGGAAACATTGAAATGAAATCTGTATATGTGTACTTTGTCACTGCCGCCATACTTTTCATTTGTTTATTTAACTCGTAGAAATGGAAAACTATTTATAGTTAATTTGTGAGTGAATTCACATTGCCTAAGTCGCATTGGATTTAAAAACACCAAGGAACATCACAGAACAATCTGAAATCCTAGGACACAATACATGCTAAAATTATGTTATCAGCTATGAGACATTATGGTGATCAAATTTCCATTTTTTCCTCTCATCTTGCCCCCCCCCCCCCCCCTTAATCCTACAAATATATGCATATTTTGTAAGCAATTTTAAACAGCAAGCAGAAAAAGGGCTCAAGAATTTTGGGGTATCTCCCCCCCCCCCCCCCCAAAACCAGGAAAAAAAAAATAGTAA